CAAATCACTTAGGAAACATTTGAAAGAATTAACAACTGGGACCTGTTCTTACAGAGAAGTTTTTTCAAGTCAAAAGAAATTACCCACAAAGTTAAAAGGCAATCCACAAATTTTTAAAAAATCATGGCAAATAAGTACTCAGACAAAGGACTGCTCTCTAGAATTTATAAAGAACTAAAAAACAGTAGGGACCCAAAATTTAAAGACTCAGTCCAGAAATGGGCATCCGAGATGAACACACACTCTCAGAGGATGAAATTAAAGAAATGAATAAATATATGAGAAAATGCTCCACATCACTAGCCATCCATGAAACACAAATTAAAACAACATTGAGATATCATCTCACCCCAGAAAGAATGCCTATCATAAAGATATCACCCAACAATAAATGTTGGAGAGGCTGTGGGGAAAAAGGAACCCTTCTCCACTTCTGGTGTATATGTAGACTGGTGCAACCATTATGGATATCAGTGTGGAGACTTCTTAGTAAAGTTGGACTGGAAATCCCATTTAACCAGCTATTCCTCTATTGGGAAATTTCCCAAAGGATCTGAAAACATCATATCATAGGGATATATGTGTGCCTATGTTTATAGCAACACAATTTGTGATAGCCAAATCTTGGCAACAGCCAAGATGCCCATCACCTGAGGAATGGTTGAAAAAGATGTGGTATTTTTATACAATGGAGTATTACTCAGCTATAAAGTATCATAAACTTGAAGTCTTTATATTGAAGTGGATGCCACTTGAAGATATCCTCATAAGTGAAATAAACTAGACACACATGTGTAAATATCATATAGTTTCCCTATTATAAAAACTCAAAAGATGAAATACAAATAGAAAGGTATAATACAGTAAAAGGAAAGCAGGAACTCTAGGACTAACAAATTAAGAGAGGGCAAGGAGAAGAGCTAGAAAACATGACAATTACAAGCCATACAGTTATATATGTAGAAGATGTCAAGACAATGATCCTGAGATTCTCCAGAAGATTTCTAAATCTATCAGTTCGTTGGAAAGATTCTCACCCTCACTATATATACTGATACCTGTGAACTAAGCAACTGCACTGAAGATGGTAATCTGTAATAGTAGTTTCATGCTTGGAGTGCTGGTCATTCTGGTCTTCTGATTATGGGCTGCTTGTCATGACATGCCATTTGCTGCTGTGCTGTCTCTTGGGTAGATGATTATTCAAGAAGAAGTGGGTGGTGAATGAAGGCAAGAGATAGAACATGGAATGTTGTGGAACTGTCCTGCTTCAAGATTGTATATGGTTAGATTTATGGACTTACATGTAAATGTAAGAATTATATAATTTTTATGTCTCTTTTTAAAATATATTCTAATTTTTAAATGTTTTCTCATCATATTCTGTAGGGACTTTAAGTTCAACATATCAATACTTGATGAAAAATACCTGCTCCATGTTATGCCTAAGATGTTTGATATTCAGACAGATAGTGGGGTTAAGCTTAACAGCCTAGGTTGTATTGTAATAACAATAGGCTTGTCTTCTGGAGGGTTAACAATCTAAGTTTGCAGACCCAAATTAGAGAAAAAGGAGGGCTGCAAGGAAAGCCAACATTTTAGTCCCAGCCTTCCTAGGTCAATTAAGACTCAAGACATATGAGCACTTGTACTGTAACATCATGTAACTCAGTAGTGTCCCAATATTTCTGATCAAGGAGATGATGGGGCCAAAGAGGAAAGTGATTGATGATGTAGAGTGTGCCTAAGGAGAGTCACATGGAGAGAAAACATTGTCTCAGGCTTTCATAGAGAGCACATTGGCCAAGCAATGGCCGTGACTCATCCACATGGCTGACACTGACAAAGGTTCTACAATCTGAGGTACAGGATTTCAGGATAAATCCTGAGGGGATTTCACTGACCTTATCAGACTCAAAAGCTACAACTCATGTTGTATACGTTCTGCTTTACCTTTGGTCTTAACCATCCAGCAGTAAAGTATAAAAACGAAGTATAAGAAGTAAAGCCATGCTATTATGTTGAGCTGTAAGGGACTCAGGTCAACAATTTCTGGCATTGCCAGTGAAGCGGAAGACCCAATACTTATGGACTGCTGGACTCTTTTAGCATATTTTGCTGAGTTAACACACCTATAATATTCAAATAACAGAACTTAACAAAAGAAGGGGATACAGATGAATGTCCATTTTGCATCTATGTATTCAAAATGGTTAGGATAGATATATAGTTGCATTCTCTGTATGAATAGAGAGATTTGTTCTAATAGTGTTTGTAAATAGGATATCATGTCCGCATCTTGTACAGCAATTAACCACTAGGAAGAATGTATGTAAAGTGTCAATTATTGAAACTGTCCTTCCAATTTGGTTTGAAGCTGTCTCATTTCTATTTGTTTCTCAATAAAAGTATGGAAAAAAATAAAAGAAGTACTAAAACAATAGTAAAATAATGCATAAGTAAGATGTAACAGATATAGGTGAAACAGAATAAAATATTTGACTAATAAAATTGAAAAAATACAGTAAAAACATCAAATAGATTATAAAAACATATGTAAATAGAAACACATAAATAATCAAATTAATTATATATTTATTATGTTAAAAGGAAATACAAATCTGTTAGACTAGGCTTTTTAAAAATCAGACGTTTTCTCTTGATTTCAGGGTTTTTCAAATTTTTTTGAAATCTGCCAGAGTCCAAGTTATTTCTTTTCTTTCTTTTTTTTTTTTTTGCTATTTCAATGGATAGTTATCAATAACAACTGTACAGCTAATGTCCTTTCTCTTTATTGAAATCTATTCAATGTATTTTATATGTTGCTTCTTTTAGTATTCACAATAAAGCATTATGGAATATACTATCATGATCTCCATTTCACTGAAGCACAGAGGTTAAATACCTTTAAAGAAAGTCAGTGGCAAAGCAAGACCATACACTGAAGCACTGACTCCAAAAACCATACTCATAAACATAAAGTAACACTCAATAATCTGCTAACTATGAAGGTTTTTTATTTCTTTCACTTTATAATTTTAATAGTTTTTCATCTAAGTGCTTATTACTAAGAGCAATGATCTATTCCTACGATTTATGCAAAACAGCAAAAATATTATTCTAAAAACTAGTATCATGATACATTAAAAGCAGTACTTAAAGTTATTAAATGGTAAATTCTATGTTTTGTGTTCTCTACTATGATTAAAATACACACATGTCAAATTAAGCAGTAAAATTTAAAGAAATTTATCAAAGGCTGGTGACAGAAGCAGGTCAAAATAAAAATTGTAGAAATCTAGAAAATCTAACAATCTAAACAATTTAATTTTGAGTATATATAAGAGCATGATAATTTTATTGTTTTAGAATCTCAATAAGAACTAATGAATTTAACAGAAAATAAATTGACAAACTAGAGAGGTTTTGAAGAAACTGTCATATGTGATAGTGAAACCTCATGGAAGCATCAAATAATTATTTGAAAGTCTACTGATGAATGGTATAGGAATGTCAACTATGAAGGGTCTGAGATTTTACCTCACTTAAATTTCCAAATTCTACAGTAGTTTCACAAATGTTAGTAGATGACACAGCCCCTTAGCTCAGTTCTTTCAGTGGCTGCTTCTACACAGATTCTTGAGTCAGATAATTGAAATTAGTACTTGTGGCATGACAAAAAGCATGAGCATCAGCATACTTATATTAGTCTTCTCTACCCTCAAGTACTAGAAGGCAAAAATGATAGGGTAAAATGGAAACCTGCAAAATGGCTATCTGTAAATGATAGAGAATGGCTTTGTTATGGGAGAAAAAACATGAGCTTGAAGAAACCAAATCCTTTATGATGCACTGTAAACACATCCTCTGCTTGGGATAGAGATACTGTCCTCAACTGTTTGCTGTATTATCATTAATGAAAGGTGAGTCCTGAACAAAACATACAAAACCACAAAATAGTTATAATTTTATCTTAATAACAAAAAATAAGAAGACTCTTAAAGTTTGTGTCTAGACATCCCCTAATCCCAGTAGACTGGATACAATATAAGGGACAGAAAGAGGCTGCCTCTCCATTGTTGCTTTTGCTGTCTTCCTCAGTCATGAACTGTTGCCCTTTGCCGTGTGTCATCCTGCCTTAGATCCAGATAATTTTGGACTGAAACTGTGAGTTAAACAAATCTTTCCTCCTTTTACTTTGGATATTGAGTATTTTGCCTCACCAACAAGAGAAAAGTAAGACAAATATGTCTACATAGAAAACAAACTTTAGGAGAAATGTTTACATAGAAAATACATCTCTGTAAAATAAGCTTCAATAAAAATTTGAAATCTGAAAAATTTTGCCTAAAAATATAAATTTAATTCACAAATATGATTTTTATATATAAAAAAATAAAACAGCTCATGTATCAGTAATTTAGGGCAACTAATTTAAAAATATTTACATAATCCCCCTTTAACTTGTGAAGCATATTATACTGTTTCTTTTTGTTTTCATTGCTACAGTTATTAGACTCATCTTAAAATTACATTATATGTTAAAACTGTACTAAACCAGAATGTATTTTATTACATCAACTAAATTGAAATCTGAAACAACTCTCATCAACTGGTCTTGATTGTTTACCCTGTTAGTTACACAGACCCTTTTCTACATTAGAAAGCTACCTGGTTAATTCTCCCTAAGTCTTCAATTGTCTGCATTGAATATTTCATTTCTAGGATTGAAATTGTGTGCTTTCACTATTCTAACTACTTTCACCCTTCAGTGACTGCATCCTTAGCATATACATTTATTAATGTTATGTTTGTTCTATATAGAACTTTATTTCTACCATTTCTCTACTATTCAACATGCTTGTTCTTTCTTCTAGTCTCCTAAACAAATAGAATATAGTCATAATACCTGTTTAGTGTGCTCATTTATTATTCTAGTATCATATAAAATTTTAAGATAACACTAAGTTATAACATTTATTTTGCTATCAATATATTACCTGATACTCAGAAGGCCCAGGCATTGTATAAACTTCTTTCTGAAGCAAGAACAAAGTTCGAGGGACAGAAGAACCAAATGCACTTCTCTTTTGTTTCTTCAAGCAAATATTTCTAATATTGGTAATTACAGTATTGTTTAGGATATTATAAAATCCAGGACCTAAGACACATGAATAGTTATATAAGAATGAATATGGATAACTTTAATTCTTTTAGAAAGAGCATTCCAATATTTGGAATACAAAACGATGTAGGCACTTCAAAAGTTCAAAGTCTTACAATGTTAAAAAGTATTCTTACCAAAGAACCTAGAAATTCTATTCCAAGGCATTTTCTGAAAAGAAATTAAGGCAATCCAAGTGTTCACCTGATGAACAGTTAAACAAAATGTGCTATAATAATGGAATGTGGCTCAGCAATAAAAGACAAATTCAACATAAATGAATTTTGAAAACATGATACCAAGTAAAAGAAAATCCTGAATAATTATGATTACATGCATATGAAATTTTAGAAAAGATACTAGGGCTGGGGAGATAGCTCAGCAGTCTAAGTGCCTGTTTGGCAAGCACAAAAACCAGAGTCTGATCCCTGGTACCACATGCCTTGCCGGTCCCAGAACTCCAGGTGCACTATGTGCCCCTGAAACCAGGCATGGTGGCACACAACTGTAATCCCAGAA